CCGGATGACGAACCGGCCCATTGTTCATCTCCAATCAGATCTGGATGAACCCAAAGGATTTCGCCATTTGGGGTTGTGTGCGGCACAAGTCCCTTTTGGCGCTGTCCGTGCGGATCGTCATTCACCGTCTTCATCCCGACTTTGGTGACGCGTTTTGGCTCGAACCAAGTTGTAGGCACCGACCCAAAACTGATTGACACTGCGTTGGCCCCCACATTCTTGGCTGGTTTCGGGGTTATGACTCCTACGTCGATTAACGCCTGGATCTTGTCCTTGAGGTGGTAGCATGATCTCGTAGGGTGGTGGACCGCTCTGTGGTACGCGCAGTACTTTGGATCCGTCACTTTGCTGGCCCCTTCTTGATCCACGATCGCCGGCAACTGGATCTTGTTGTTCTCCAACAGGTATTTGAAGATGCCGGGAACTTCATCATCCTTGAAGGAGTACACTTTAGGAAACCTCGGCTCCGCAGATTTCTGCTTCTGAGGCCGTTGTTGCCATTGTCCTCGAGATTGTTGGGGTGCTTGTTGCTGTGGCTGCTGTTGCTGTGGTTGCAATTGAAAGGTTTGATTAGCATCAACTGCATTAGCTTGTGCCTTACCTTTCCCCCGTGGGACGAAGTTTTGCTTTGGAACACTCGTCGCCGGTTGGCCTCTTTCCGCCTTCTTCCTCTTGAGGAATCGCTCAGCTTGCTCTCCCCGGACTTTCAAGTCCTTCCATGTATTGGATGGTGCTGTCCCCATTGCTTCTAGCACGTCCAACGCGAGGTTGTTGTGGCAGGTCTGGAGGATGAATTCCTCGGTGATCGGGTCCCGGCAATTCATCGCCTTGTTCCGGAATCTTTTGACGAAGGTATCGACTAACTCTCCGTCCTTCTGCTTCTCATCGAGCAACGATCCGATAGATATCTCGGTGTCGTCGTCGAAGAAGTTGGCCAGGAACTTGGTCTCCATGTCATCCCAGCTGTTTACGCTGCCTGGCTTGAGGCGGCGATACCAATCGAAGGCGGCTCCGCGAAGAGTGCCGACGAATGACCGCACCATCAGAGGCTCATTACCAGAGATCACCCCCAAATGCGATTTGAAGTAAATCAAATGCTGGGTAGGTGAACCCATCCCATTAAACGGCGTGAAGTTAATTAGATTAAACTTCGCCGGATATGGGATCGATTCCCATTCTCTTGGGTATGGGCAAGGAATGCCTGTTTTCTTCGTCTCTTGAGCGGAAATTAGTGTGTTGATTTTGCTCTCGAGGTTCTTGATCTTCAGGTTTTCGCCGGTTTCTTCGCCAGCATTCTCATTACCACCCCCTGCGTTGACGGGAGGATCATTGGTGTTACGAGCATTTGTATCCTCATCTTCCACATTAATCGGGTTACGATGATTCTGCTCGCCTTGTTGGTTCGCCAATGCTTGGATCTGTTGGTCATGCATTTCTCTCATCTGCTGCATGGCCATCTCCATCTCAAATTTGAAACTTTCTTTCTGCTTAGCCAAAGCGTCTTCAAGCATCTTGGCCATCTGCTCCGCACTTATCATCAGGGCCTCGCGGGGTTGTCCCTCGCTGGATACTGTATTATCTGATGCCACCGCGGAGCCGGCATCAGATTCTTCATCTTCTGAAGGGCGTCTTGTCCGAATCCTACCATAAGTTGCTCGCTCTATGGTTCCGGACTGCAGACGGGTTCTAGGTCGGGAAGCTTTCAGAATCGACTCGAAATCTTCTCGTGCCGATGTCCCTTTGCTCGTCATGTTGGTGGTGACCCTCGGAAATTCTCCGTCTTCAATCACCCTTCTTCTTCGTTGGAAGCGCCTAGGCCTTGGTTTTGGCGTTTCCGCATTAAGTCTTTCAAAAACTGAAACTCTTTCGGGGACCGCCTTAATGCAATTGCATTCCGACAATACCGCCCGAATGAGTTTGGAACAGGGACATTGAATTTCCCGTTCTCGGGGACTCCTCTTCCTGGTTCTATTCGTACCCCCAGCACGATAGTACAACTCGTCATTTTGACAGTCAGAGTAACCTATCGTGTGCGGGCACGCCTTCTCAGGTACAACACAATCATTATCAGATGATAATGTTTCCATCTGAGGTTGACTTGCCTTCTTTGTTGCTTAGCTAAGGCCTCTTCAAGCATCTTGGCAATTTGTTCCGTACTTATCATAAGTGCCTCGCGGGGTTGTCCCTCGCTGGATACCGTATTATCTGATGCGACTGCGGAGCCGGCATCAGATTCTTCATCTTCTGAAGGGCGTCTTGTCCGAACCCTACCATAGGTTGCTCGCTCGATGGTTCCGGACTGCAGACGGGTTCTAGGCCGGGAGGCTCTCAGAATCGACTCGAAATCATCCCGTGCCGATGTCCCCTTGCTGGTCATGTTGGCAGTGACCCTTGAACGTTCACCGTCTTCGACCATTGTTCTACCCTTGAACGTTCATCATCTTTGACCATTGTTCCTCTTCTTCGGAAACGTCTAGTCCTTGGCTTTGGCGCTTCCATGCTGAGTCTTTGGAACACGGAAACTCTTTCGGGAAACATTTTGGTGCAGTCGCACTCAGATAATACCGCCCGAATGAGTTTTGAGCAAGGACATTGAGTCTCTAATCTTTGAGGGCTCCTCTTTCTGGATTTGCTCGTACCTCCAGCACGATAGTACAGCTTATCCATTTGAAAGTCGGAGCAACCTATCGTGTGTTGGCACGATCTCCCAGGTATAACGTCATCGTCACCAGACAACAACGTTTCCTTCTGAGAATGAATTTCCTTCTTTGAGCTCTCCAGAGTCACACGCCTCGAAACGCGCCTTTGTGGGTGTGAATCTTTAGCGGGCTCCTGCACTTCGATGCGCAAAGTTGTGCGCTTGGGTGCCACGATTTTCTCTAAATGTTGAGGGTTGCGGCAACCCCCAGCATGTTGAATTGTTTGGGACTTCTTCATAGGCCCCAACCGTTCTTGAACTGGAGTTTTGCCTCGTTCTTTGGGAAGTGGACCGAGGCGCTCCAAAACAGGCTTCCTCCTTCGGGATGATTCTGCATGATCTCCCGGAGTGACCATAGGAATTAACGGCGACTTTGGTTGACTCGCCGGAGTTTGACCTTGCTTAGAAGGCTGCGATGGTTGCTTTTTGGCCTGAGTCGCCACTTCAGACTTCGGCTTCCAGACTTGGCGGGTTGGTGGTGGCTTCTTCGTCACCTCCTTTTGCAGTCTTCTACGGGCTTCTTCAGCTTTGGCCCGTACTTGCGCCGATAATGCGCGGCGCTTGCGGATACGCTCCTCCAGCGTCGTACGGTTCCGTTTGACCCGGACCCACTCCATCATTGATGGCTTGGAGGAACCACTCTTCACTTGATGTTGAGGCTGTTTGCCTCGTTTGTTCTTCAGATCCGTATTGTAGCGGACCCCGTCAACGGACTCCATGGCCTTGGCGAATTGCTTCGCGAGGCGTTGACGCTGCCTCTGGCGAGCTCTCTTAGAGAGAGTCACCACGCCTTCGACGGCGGACTTGACCTGCTTAGAGGCCGGTGTGACTTCACCCGACGCAACTTCGGCGTCGATCGGGGTGAGGTTGTCGTTGGTGGCTTCAACTTCTTCGCACCAACGGACTTTTCTCCTGGAGGAGAACTTCTGGAATTTCTTGGACTTATGGGGGGAGGTTGATCCGGACGAGGACACGTACTCCTCGTACTTCTGCTGGTCGAACTCATACTCGACCTCCTCCACGACCGGGATCGAGATCCGCGGCTGCGACGCTCCGATCTCGGCAGCGAGATCGGTGGCTCCCACTGTGGTCGCCAGATTGTTCGCTGGAAAAATCGTTACTTTCTTCACTGATTCCATTGCTATCTTGAATAACAGTTTTTCGGTTACAAAAGATCCGGTCTTTTTTTGATCCGGTTACAATGAAAATAAAAAAAAATAAAGAAAATTACAACTCTTTCTCTTTTGTCGAACAGATCGCGAGCTCCTGTTTTGCGGTCGCTCGCTTTGGTGGGTTGTTTGCCTGCGCCGGGGTTGTTTGCCGTGGACCACCGCGCGATCTAGATCCGAGCAGATCTACGCAGTATAACGGGTATTATTTCACCAAGGAAATAATAGCCGGAGGGATTATTTCACCAAGGAAACAATCGCTCGAATCTCGGGATCAAAGACCAAGCTTTGATCCGGAGTGTAACAACGTAGATCTGAGATCTCGATCCCCTCGAACTCCTGCCTTTTGTGATGCGGGTGCTCGCCAAGAATCAGATCTGGACGTCCAAGTCTTCAAGCCTTCAAAAACTCCAAGATGAGGTCTCAATCCGGCAGAGTTTCGGCTCTCCAAAAGTTCTTCCAAAAGTCCTTTCAAATGATGAATGACCCCGCCTATTTATAGGCAACCAGATCTGTGCATTTGGCACAGATCTGGGCGGCCACCTCAGGGTGGCTCGGCTCATGCCGAGCCACCGCCAACTTGAGGTGGCTCGGCTTCGGCCGAGCCCCTCCGGGTTTTACGTCCGTCGTTCGGTTGTTTCGGTTCTTGTATCCGCTTCGTCCGTGATGCGGTTGATTGGTCTGAAATCGATTCGTTGACTCGATTCCTGATTTGGCAATAAATCCGATTCTGAGCTTGATTCCAAAACTGATCATGACTCGATCGCGATTCATCCGAGTTCGCCCGTGGCGTTGCTCTGAACCCCGATTTATTCTGAATCCTGATTTGGAAGTCTGGATCCCGATTAGGCAGTAAATCGGCTTTGGTGTCTGAGTTCGAATCCGTTATATGGTTGGATGACTCGTTGACTCCCTGAACCGTTGGTTTGATTCCGCACGCGAGTGGATTCATTCCGTCGTTCACGTGCGGTTCGTCAGCTTCGTAGCCTTGTTAATCCGCTTCGTTGCGTGTCACTTGGCTTCGGTGTTGTGGACTGACGTTCGTGCTTAGATACGTCGCCCGATGGTTCATTAGTTCGTGTTGAGCCGTGTTAAGGGACCTATAAGCAATTTTATATGCCTACACCCGGAAGTGGAAAGTATTGGTCTCAGGTCTCCATCTATCCATCAACGCGGTCAGTAGGGGCCAATCGAGCTTTATCCAACGAAGCTTTGAACAAGTCAAGAAGCCGGCCCGTCCCACAGCTGCTATGATACGCTCATCCTCTAACCGCCAACGGCTATGGCTGAGGCTATGATCAACCATAACGATACTCGGACCTCTCTGTATAGAAAATGATAGTATAAGAATGCAATATTATGTAAATGTAAATATTGCAATTATAAAGTAACTGAATTACCTCTGTACAGGATATAATATGTGAACGATGTTGAGCCTGGTCATATAAGACCTCATCACTAACCGGCCCAGGATCCATGGTGTACAAACCTGCACATATAATTATACACATGTTAATAATCAATCATATAGTAATTCAGTTTCTTTATTAAAGTATATAAAAATAAAAAAATGATATAAATTACCAATTAGTTGCTATCTATTGTGTCTAGATGGACAACGAGGTCGAGTATGTCCCGGTTGTTTGCAAATACTACATTTTTTTATGCTTGACCACTCCTTCTCGCCCTTGATCCATGGTTCCCCTAATTCGCACAGATCGTGGTCGACCTGCTTATCTCCGGTACTGAGGTGGAATTATACGTGGTCCATTATATTCAGGCCAATACCGACTATCATCGGATGGATGAAAACTCTCACTATATGTCTTTTGATAGTGAGTTGTTGAATACCAAGGCGAGCAATACCGATTTCTGGGAATTCTAGCACCTCCTGGCTGATTAGAAGAAGCCGCAAGCACATGTGCACAGGGTATTTTTTGTAGTGAGTTGTTGAATACCAAGGCGAGCAATACCGATTTCTAGGAATTCTAGCACCTCCTGGCTGATTAGAAGAAGCCGCAAGCACATGTGCACAGGGTATTTTTTGGAGTTGTGGTATGTTACATGTGCAAGTGCAATCAACATCAAATAGTTTAACGGTGTAGATACCGTCACAATCTTGTACCTGCCATTCGTTGTCGTTGAATACAGTAATTTGACATGATCTTGCTGCCTCAATTCTTCTATGCAAAATGGACTCATTTTTTGGTGTGTAACGTGTTGTCCAGTCTATGCCATCACCACGCCTTTTGTTGAAGTATGCGTTTAGTCTATAGAATGTTCTCGCAACCAAAGATTGTATTGGCATAGCTCGTGCTCCTTTAAGAACGCCGTTAAAGCTCTCGGAGCAATTAGTCATCATCATGCAAAACCGCACACCATCATCCTTACATAATGCCCACCGATGCTCGAATTGAGGCTTCAAGTTATTTTCAATCCAATTATGTGCATCTAATGACAAAGACTTGATTTTCTCCCTGCAATGTTCATACACTAATGTGTCGGTTGCACACCCGGCTTGCCACAAAAGATTTTGCAAATTAATCTCATCGTGTTTTTTCTTGAAATTATCTCTTATATGCCTTAAACAATATCGATGGTGATGTGGTGCACTAAAACCCTCATGTAACGCCCTTATAATTCCTTTCATCCTATCCGAAATAAAGGTAATTATTCTTGGCGCACGGACACTTGGAATCCACTTGTATATAAGTTCAAAAAACCACTTCCAACTAGACGTATCCTCCACCTCCACGACTGCAAATGCTAGAGGAAATAACCCGCCATTTGCATCTACACCGGTCGCTACAAGAAGCACGCCTTTGTACTTTCCATATAAATGTGTACCATCAATGCTCAATAGCGGACGACAAAAAGTGAAGCCCTTAATAGCAGGACCAAATGCCCAAAACACGCGAGTGAACCTCTCCATACCCGGTGCAATCTCTTCGGATAATATTTCGTATTCAGTACCCGGATTATTTCGTTTGATAGCTTCAAGATACTGTGGAAGTAATTCATATGATTTTTCCCAATCTCCAAAAATTTTAGACAACGCTTTCCTCCTTGCATCATATGCCTTATATTTAGATATCTTAATCCCCCGCATGTCATATACCCTCTGAAATATCTGACCTGCATTCAGATCAAGTTCAGCTCTAACTTCAGGCATAATTAGCTTACATATATAAGAAGAAGATGCAGAATAATCATCGACATCCACCGACGGGTTGCAACATGTATGAAGTCCGCAATATCTACATATTACAAATTGCCCATTTGATGATTTTCTCACAGCGACATTTAGCAACCAAGGGCATTTTTTATTTCTCTCATCTTGCTCATTTGCGTTCTCTACTTCATTCTTATCGTTAAAGAAGCATTTCACATTGTAGTTTGTTGCATTAGTTTTTACCGGCTTGAATTTGACCCGATTCTTGATGGACCATTCTCGGATTGCAAAGATCAGTGCCTCCTTGCTCTCGAATAGATCCCCTTTTTTAAAAGTGAAGTCCTCAGGTCGTTGTAAATTTGGCCCAACATCAACAAATCCAGCTTGAGAAGTATTTATCCAATCCTCATTATGAAACTCGTCGGGCAACGGATCTTCAGCTTCCACATAATCATTGTTAACGTTAAATTGCTCCATCCAACGGGCGTCATCATCGATTCCAGCTGCCACATGCATGCTATCAATTTGCACGCCATCTTCTTCAAAATGATCTGAATCATCATCTGCTTCATCTTCTATAATTGCTCCGACTGGTGGGTAACCCGTAACATGACCTGAAGCGTCGTTAAATATATTAGTTGACGTCCCACCGATAGAATACTCACTTAAACGTTGTGGTTGAGACCATGGCTCTTGACTTGGAGATGTCATAAAACCAATCGACTCGTTGTCTAAGTCAAGCATCCGAGAAAACTCTCCTTGAGGTCGTGAAACTTGGGCAAATTCCTGAATCGGATACTTCTCAATAAACAACTCAATTGACGCTTGCTTCTCAACTAATTGTTTCATATCATTCAATTCCTCATCTTCGGTAATCTCCACGGCAATAGTTCTACTCTTATTTATCGGACAGTTGAAGAACACCCTAATTGTATATTCTTCGTTCTTAATTTTAGTAACTCTGTGTATTTCCCTAGCATTCCATCAAAATTACACGACTTAGATAGCATGAACATTTTCCGAGAACCTCCATCATACACCGACAAATTATTCACTCCGACGCCGAGGCTCCCATTAAAGAAACAAATAATGGGTATGGAGTTCGTCATCGAAACTGAAAATACACAGTCCATCATATGCAAATAATCTATTAATATCTGAATAAATCAACATCAAATTTATTACCTTAATCAATCCCAAATAATGGCTAAACCCTAACTCCCAAATCACATTATATCATAATTACTAAACCCTAACTCCCAAATCACATTATTCATCCTATTGCACAAAATAAAAACTAATCCTACCCAATTCTAGCAAAATTAACAGCCAAAACATTATTCCCCCAATTCTAGCAAAATTTGATGAATATCCCTCTCAAAAATAATTGTTAAACCCTCTCATATGTAAATAATTGCTAAACTAAACCCTAACTCCCAAATTAACAGCAAAATTAAAAAGAAAAACACACCTGAGGGGAGAGTCACGAGAAGAAAACTTTGACCGAAAGAAAGAACGAAAGAAAAGACGAAAGAGAGGGTGGGGTAGGCGGACTGCACGGGACCCGTGCAGTTTCGTAACTGCAAAATCGACCATTTTAGGTCGGTTTTGCTAATTATTTTGTGAGACGGTCGATTTTGCCCAATAAAATTGAAAAATGGGCTGTTTTAAAAATTTCTCCTAAAAAGAATAGATAAGCAAACAATCAAATATAATAAATGGGGACTTAAGTAGAGCACCGATTCCTTGAGCAGCAAAAGACACATAAATTATGCCAACAACTGGCATGGAATGAAGACCCAAAGGATGAAAAACCAACGGACATAAACTGAAGGCGTTACAAAATTATCATCTTTAAACAGGAAAGAGCTCAATTTTGACAGTAATACATATTTTTCAAACGGGCTAGTTTTGATAACCACAGCATCTTGAAACAAAAATAAAGATCGTTTTAGCAAAAGAAGTTAAATCCAAAATGTTGGCCTAATAACACTAATGAAAATCCCAGTGTATTCTCTGTTCAATGTACAGAACTAGTTCTGTCAGATCCATGTCTACATTGTGGCCCTTTAGGAGGATATAGTTGTGTTTGCGTCAAAAGTTGACTTTGTCATGGAATTCATTATATCTTCGGTCGATTACAATAAATTCAAAAAAGAGATAGCCTTTTTATAAGACTCCTTTTACACAACAAAAGGAAAAATTACAACTCTTGAGAAACAAACGCAGGATCGTTGTTTGGATCGCTGCTTGCGTGAGATCTTTGCCTGTGCCGGGAGCGCTTTGACACGTGGACCACCAAATCACAGATTCTGATTGAATCGTGAGGGGTTTAATGAGTCTTCCTTCGTTTATCGAAGTGAGAATTTGAAACGATATCTTATCAAAATTAAGATAGTCGTTCTTCTTGAAATCAAGTCAAAGCTCGAATCTCAAGGGATTGCCGGAAGCTCAAGAACTCTGCTCTGTCTGCTCTGAAGTGCTCCAAATGATCAGCCTCCTTCAAAAATGGCCTTCGGGGGGTATTTATAGCCCCTAGGAACAGTTGGCGGAAAACAAGCTCGCGAGACAGCATTTGCTGTCTCGGCTGCCGAGACAGTGTGTCTCGGCGGGCGAGACAGTGTTTGCTGTCTCGGCCCGCGAAACAGTAAACATTGTCTCGGAAAAGGAATATTCCTGGCAGTTTTCACTGTAACTGCCTTCCCACGTTTCAAACTCGGTTATTTTGGCAGTTATCAACGTGATTCTCGCCCACGATGTTTCCCACGTTCTTGAACAGTTAGTGGCTACGTGTTAGCGGTTATGCAAAGTAGTTTTGACCCTCTGAGAGATGTCTCACGTGCGAGACAGTAAATTCTGTCTCGCACGGCGAGACAGTAAAGACTGTCTCGCACGGCGAGACAGT